ATTTACATTCATTACATCCAGTATTAAATAAATAAATAAATAAATAAAATTGAAAAAGAAGCCAATTAAAAAAAAAAAGAAAGGACATGGATCCCACACTCAAGTTTATGGGAAGAGGGAAAGATATGCATGCCAGTACACAAAATATCCATGCCTAATGTTTTATCATTTAGATTTCTGTCAGCTTCTTAAGCAAAAATACTTGAGGGGTCTTCCTGACCCTATATAGTAAGAACAACAGATAAAATTAACCTCACTTAATTTAACTCAATTTTGTTTACTCATATGTAAACTGTCTTAGTAAGAGGCAGGGTTAAACCTCAACTCTGTCCAGAGCTCTCTTCGCTATTATTTTGGTTGATTCATAACCACGGGTTGTAGGAATTTAGCCTCCAACCCAAAAAAGGGGAACACATATGTTATTATGACAAGGTCAACAGAAGTAGGAAGTCCATATTACATTGTTATTTGGGGAAAGGTTGTAAATAATTTCAGTAGATAGAGTTCTGTTGTTCATTTTTTCCCAGTTTGTAGAGGTGAACTGCTTTGTTTGCTGCCACAAGTATCTGAAATGGATCGACAATCTACCAAACAGAGCAAAAAAGAATTAATTACACATAGAGAACCCGCAGTGTGTGAAACACTTGGCAACTCATGGTAACTCCAGTGTCAAGGCTGTTTTACCTCATCACAATTCTTACGGTCTATATTTTCAAAACTTTTATCCCAAGGGCCTGGGTAGTCACAGAATTTTAAAGCTGCAAGAAACTTACACAAATAGTAAATGTTTAAATAACATTAATTGAGGGCTAACGTTATGTCTGAGATCATATTCCAGACATTTTACTTGTACTATTTCTTTAATCCTCAAAGCTACCCTATGAAATTGATATCAGCAGCAATAGTAATAGTAGTAGTAGTAGTAGTAGTGTGTAATTGACGAGTAAATCAAGGCAAAGAATGTCTGGGTTTGAATACCATCTCTGTCACCAATCACCTAGGGAATTTAGGCAAGTTCCTTAGCATTTTATTTGTTAGACACAGATGAAACAGTTCACTCCCTAAGGCTGTTGTGAAGATTAAGCGAGTTAGTATATGTAAAGCACTTGGAACAATGCTAGGAATGCAGTGCACAGTATGTAACAGTTGGCTATGTCTTGTTCAAAGTCCTAAGTAGGAGGTCTGGGATTAAGTCCTGGTAACATGATCCCACTTTGTGTGTTTTTGTTTGTTTGTTTTTGAGACAGTGTCTTGCTCTGTTGCCCAGGCTGGACTGCAGTAGCTCAATCTCGGCTCACTGCAACCTCCATCTCCCAGATTCAAGCAATTCTCGTGCCTCGGCCTCTCGAGTAGCTGGGACTACCATCACACAACATCACCATGCCCACCTAATTTTTGTGTATTAGGAGAGACAGGGTTTCACTATGTTGGCCAGGCTAGTCTCAAACTCCTGGCCTCAAGCAATCCACCCACCTTGGCCTCTGTGTGTGCTTTTAACTGCTACACTATGCCTCCTCTGCAGACTCTTGTGAAGAATCCCCATTTTACCAATGAGAAGCTGGAGATCCAGGCATTTCCCATGTGAGAGCCAGACCACAACCTTTCCTATTTCCTAGGGCAGCACCTGGCACTTCTGCCTCAATTTCACCGTTATAGTCAAGGTTGGCTGCATCTGACTTAGACAAGAATTTTTTTCCTAAAGCTGACAAAATTTTAGGCTCCCCTATAGATCATAAAAATAAATATATAATTAAATGTTCTGTATAGCTCATTCATTCTTTTTTTTTTTTCTTTGAGACAGAGTGTTGCTCTTGTCGCCAGGCTGGAGTGCAATGGTGCGACCTCAACTCACTGGAACCTCCACCCCCTGGGTTCAAGCAATTCTCCTGCCTCAGACTCCCAAAGTAGCTGAGATTACAGGCAACCACCGCCACACCCAGCTAATTTTTTTTGTATATTTAGTGGAGACAGGATTTACCATGTTGGCCAGGCTGGTCTTGAACTCCTGACCTCAGAAGATCCACCCGCCTCAGCCTCCAAAGTACTGGGATTATAGGCATGAGCCACCGTGCCCAGCTGGCTCATTCATCCTTATAATTTACATTTACCACTGTAGGATTTATCAGTGATCTATCGACTGGTCCCTTCCATGGCTTTTCTTCTCAAGTCTCCTGCATTTTTGACATCTTTAAATAACAGAAGGGTCACCCTGTATTCAGGAAATAGGTCCCGCTAATGTGTTAAGTGCATTTTACAGATAAGCAGGATTCTACTGCACACAAAATGAAAAGACCAAGAGACTTCTTCTGTTTAAAAGTTAACATTAGAACTCATTTCTTAACAGATATTCAGTAACTTTGACAGTAACATGATTTAAAGTGTTAAACTAGAAAAGTCCATCGCCAAAGCCCATTTGGCATCCTCATGAAATCCTGTCTTCCTAACCCTGCTGAGCTGTTTCTAGTTCCACTGCCATTCCTGGGGAAAAGCCAAGGGGCCTAGCTGGTTGTTGTTTATTCAGATAAGGCAGGCTCAGATGCATGCTTGAGGAGCTGCTTCCCCAGCAGACAAGTAGGAGCAGAATGTCAGGAATTTTTTAAAGAAGAGGTTACTTAGGTATTAATCAAGCCCTACTCTATCTTAGTCTTTTTAATTTCCTGATCTCATCATTTCATTTATATTTTAGCAAGGCCTAGTCATAAGTATTAATGAAGAAAATAATGTTAAACAATAAGTATCACACTTGACCCAAGATATTCATTCCACAGATGGAAATTAAGCAGAGAGGGTACAATTATTAAATAATCAATATTGCTCCTTTCTTGGACATAAGCTTAACAAGAAAAGGGTATTATATATAAAGACATAAAGATAACTTGAATAACTAGAAAGACATGACCATATCTTTGAATGGAAAAACTATGTATTACAAAAATTTATTTAAAACAACTTCAGTCAAATCCCTATTGAGATATTTTGGTGGGAGCAATTTGATAGACTCATTTATCCTTTTACCTGACAAATTATATTTCTAAAACTCTATGATGAAATTCATTAGGAATCCAAGATTTATACAATAAGATGTTCCTCTCATTATTTTAACAGTAAAAAGTTGAAACAACTTATCTAGCTAATTGATGGGGTTCATTGTGATTTAAAACATGTGGTCTTGATGCTGTGCAAAAACGGCAATAAATAACATTAAGTAAAAGCATCTGATTGGAAAACAAACAAACTGGCCAAATTATGGGTTTTTTAAAAGCTTTTAAACAATTATTAAAAAGAAAACGCACCAACAGGTTAATGTTATCTCTTAGAATTACATATGACTTTTTCTGTTACAAACAAGAAAAACTATTGTGAACAATATCCTGGCACACAGTTCAATCTTTAGTCATGTTAAGGGGAAAAACAGGATCAGAAAGATATAATCAGTAGGCTCCCAATTATATAAAAAGATGCACCATTTTTTAAAGACACAAGAAGGAAACGCACTAATACACGACCGTCTTGGGTACTGAGATTCCGAGGTGATTTTATTGTCCTTCATATAAAATAAAGTATTTTTTATGTATATTCTGAATTTTCTACAGTGAGCATACAAAACAGAGAACACATAATCGGAAACAAACAAAACAAAAATGTGGTTTTAACACTGAGTGGGGAAGAACCCTTAGAAAACCTCAAAATAGTTTGTTCTTGTTTAGTGTAATTCACTCACTCAGGCCAGAAACTTGGAATCATCGTTGGGTATCCAACCTGTCACACGAATCCTGAATCGAATCCGTCAAGTCCTGAATTTTCACCTCCTGAATATACTTTTGGTTCGTCCACTTCTCTCCCATGTGTAGGCTAGGTCGCCACCGCTCATCTACAGCGGTAGCCTACCTAAGTGGTTTCTCACAATTCCTGCCCTCCTATAATCCAGTCTTCCCCCGCAGTTACAGTGAGCCTTCTCAAAATGTACATCAGATGCAGTCGTTCTGCTGCTCTTATGATAAAGCGCCTACTTTGTGTCACGGTGATCCATACCGTAATATTTGGTCCCTGCCTCCCTCTTCTGCTACGGCCGCAATGGCCTTCTCTAAGCTCAAGTCACCAAGTTTTCTCCCCGATTCTGCCCTATCGGACAGGTAGTTCCCTCTCTCCTTTCGGCTCCGCTTGACCACTCCTCCCTCCCTTCAACTCCATTTGGAGTCCATGTGCTACAGCGCCCAGAACCCCAGGACTAGGGCTCTTTTTTCGTCTGAGGATTAGCTCCCTTTTCGTCTCAATCACAACGTGAAAGACTCGTGCGCCTATGCGCTGTATGTCTCCTCACTGAACGATATTTCTTGAGGGGACAGACTGACTCTTATTCTCGTGCTCCATTCACGGAGGCTGGCCTCGTTGTCCCTTGATAAACACCAGCTGAAGAAACCGTAATCATTGTCCCAAGGATACTGTTAAAGTTGCCCGGACCTTCCTCTTCCCGAGCCGGCCCGTAGCGCACGAGGAAAACTCACCATCCGGTCCCCAGTGCGTCTCGGAAGATCTCCCGCAAAGCTCACAACTTTAGGAAGCGATGGGCAAGCCCCGTCTCCCCGTCTTCTTCGAGCGGGTTTCCGGGTAGGCCGGGAGCTGTCGTTCGCTTTCGACAAAGGAAATTGAAGACTCTATGGGCTGGGACCGGAAGCTGAGGTCGGGTTTCCAGTCTCCACTCTGTCTTAACCTGTGTTGGGCGATGCACCGGGCGTCCTCGGTTTCTTCCTGTACAAGGAAAAGTACTGACCCGTGATGAGTTCTACATGCATTTTGCTGCTCCAGATTTCTTAGTTCCTTTTCAGGGCCTTGTCTCCTATGACACTTTGGACTTTTAGTTTAATGCTGGAACAAGTCAAAACTTTGGGAGTTTTCCATGTGAGAAGGACATGAGATTTGGGGGTGCACGAGCGGATGATTCAGTTTGAATATATGTCCCTACCAATCTCATGTAGAATTGTGGTCCCCATTGTTGGAGGTGGGACCTGCTGGAAGGTGTTTGAGTCATGTAGGTGGATTTCTTATGGCCTGGTGTCCTTGCAATAGTGAGTTCTAGGGCGATCTGGTTCTTTAGAGGTGTGTGGCACCCCCCATCACACACTGTCTCCTGCTCCAGTTCTCACCATATGATGTGCCTGCTCTCCCTTCTCTTTCTGCCAATAGAAAAAGCTCCCTGAGGCCTCCGCAGAAGCCAAACAGATGCTGATACTATGTTTCCTGTACAGCCTGCAGAACCGTGAGCCAATTTAACCTCTTTTCTATATAAATTACCCAGTCTCAAGTATTTCTTAATAGCAATGCAAGGACAGCCTAATTGGGGGAGTGAGAGAGGAAATGGGGAGGCATGACACACTGGGCTAAAACACGAAGGACATTCAGCCAGGCGCAGCGGCTCTTCCCTGAATCCTAGCACTTTGGGAGGCCAAGGTGGGCAGCTCACCTGACATCAGGAGTTCAAGACCAGCCTGACCAACATGAAGAAACCCCCTGTCTCTACTAAAACTACAGAATTAGCTGGGCGTGGTGGCACCTGCCTGTAATCCCAGTTACTCAGGAGGCTGAGACAGGAGAATCACTTGAACCTGAGAGGCAGAGGTTTCAATGAGCTGAGATTGCGCTGTTGCACCCTAGCCTGGGCAACAAGAGCGAAACTGTGTCTCAAAACAAACAAAAACATGAAGGACATTCTATTTCTAGGAGAGACAAGAGGCTGTTCTGGTCAGTTTCTCTTCATCACAGGATGCTATATTCCCAGCACATTCCGCAGTTATCCTAGAGAACCATAAATGAGAAAGGAGAAAGAACTAAGTTGGTCCAAGGCCACCTGGAGAACTGTTCTGCAGTCTGTGCTCTTAATTCAGATTATCCCCCCAGCAAAGCGAGGCCATTTCATATGCCCACCAACCTCTTAGTATCTGGAAGCAGAGATTTGTCTTATCAGATCGGCGTAACACACTGACGACATAGTGTCAGTGAAACATTGTTAAGCCATAGTCAGAATGCATTTCGCTAGACCCAGGAGGACTGCTCCACAAACAGCTGATCAGGTCTGCCTGCAGCAGCAACCTAGTCCCGGATCCAGGATCCAGGTAACAAGTTGCTAAAGAGGTCCCAAAAGGGTCCCTAAGGGGGGGCCCAGTATCTGCAGCAAGTGGGCCTCCTCCCAGATCTCCCCTAATTTTCTATAATACCTAAGTTGTTCTCTACCTACAGTAGCAGCTATTGGCAATCAAACACACTTGTCTCAGTTTGGTAAATGGAAGTCTAAAGTAACTACTTTGTTTAATACGATCCTCTTGGCCAGGTGTGGTGGTTCATGCTTGTTATCCCAGTGCTTTGGGAAGCTGAAATAGAGTGATTGCTTGATGCCAGGAGTTCAGGATTAGCCTGGGCAAAATAGTGAGACCCCCATCTCTCCTAAATATTTTTTAAAATAGCCAAGTGTGGTGGTGTGCACCTGTAGTCAGAGCTACTTAGGAGGCTAAGGTGGAAGATCACTTGAGCCCAGGAGTTTGAGGTTACAGTGAGCTGTGATCATGCCACTGCCCTCTAGTATGGGTAACAGCATAAAATTCTGTCTCAAAAAAGAAAAACAAAACTCAAAGGAGTTGAGGGATGTCTGCTGAGCTGCCAAGGAAGTGGCAATAGAGGAAGCAGTATCTGCCATGCTCAGGGACAGAATTCTTACCAGTTTTTCCCAAGCACTGACTCCTATGTGTGGTACCAAAAATCTCATAAAAAGAACATAAACCCAGGGTCACTTACACCTCCTGGCAGGTGTCTAGTAAGCCTGGGGTATGGACTTCAGGCTGCTGGCCCACTGGTGTGACTCATTTCCAAGGGTAATATCGAGGGACACCCCAGCATGCCCAGCGTGCAATATCCCACCGTTCGTCAGCTTTTCGTGTATAACACTGACCACACCATATTTGGGTCACCCTAGACTGCTCACAGGGAAAAATGTAGCCTCAGGTGCACATAGCACCCCTTCTCCTATTTTATTGTTCAGTAACCCATTCATTGGTACGAAGGCATTAGCCTCTGCCAGCAAAGTCTCAAATTATTTCTATGAACTTGGTTTCCCCCATTCAATATTGTTCATGAAGTCCCTACACAGAAAGCTAACAGTAGTCCAATTCTTGTTTCCATCGTCAACACTGGGATGCTTCTCATCCAAGTAAAGGAACATAGTGGGTCAAAACTACCAGCCCACCGAGGCTGGTAGTTGTCATGATGTTTTGCCACCTTCGGCCAATTAAGTCTCCCTCCCTGCCATGTGGCAGGTGCTAAATCTTCACTCAGTAAGCCACGGCTGAGGCTCTGTTGATACTCACTGCACCACTATAATACTGGTAGAGTTTACTACTGGCAGGACGAGAAGGTTGCTGTAGTCTGTGACAGAATGGGGTCTGGGATGGCAGATCCAGCACTTTCCTTTGGTGGCCACAGCTTGGGAGAGCCCAACAAAGGCATTATGCTTCCAGGCCTCTACTTTCACATCCTGTGGAAAAAGCAGAGTGACAGGTTAGTGCCCCACACCTTAGACTCCCTGCATCCTCGGGTATTCCCTATCTGTCAGATAGAGGCTGGCCTGAGTGCAGTGTCCCAGTCTGATTGCTGAAGTCCCAACACTACCTATTGTTGCATGACCCAGGCCTTTTGGCTTTAGTCATCCAGTCAGGGAAGGGAGGTTTGTCCTGGACAATCCTGACATGTTGATAAAGTTACCCACCTGTATGGAAGAATTGGGTGTTCATGGTGCCACTAATCCTAACACCCTCGTACTTCTTGGTTTCATGCTGTATTCCTGTGGATTTCATAGAAGAGGGGTGCCTGGTGGAAGTATCACCTCTAGATTAGAGTTGGGGGCCCTGTCTGGGGTGTTCTGGCAGCCTGAACCACAAACCACCTACAGGATGTGCACTCTAAATGGAAAAAGAAAAAAAGGATGATTGCGACCACTGAGATTGGAATTTCACAGATGGAGACTAATCAGGCAGGGACCTGGTCCACCTCCATCCACACCAAGCTCAGTGTTTTTCAAGATGCGTGCAGTGCTGTGTTTCCCTTGGAGTACAGTGCTTAGTATCCACGCTGCCCTAGTCAGATTGAGGTACCACCCCACTAACAGACTGTCCTGATGTCCTTTATTCAGTTGCTTTGTGAGTTGGCTGTTCCATCGTTCAATTGCTCCATTGGCCTGTGGATGACAGAGTACATGGAAAACCCAATGTATTGCATGATAGTCTGCCCACTGTCATGTTGCTTGGGCAGGGGGGATTTTCCTTGGTCAGAGTGAAATCCCATGGGGTATCCAAAAACATGACATAAGTCCTCCCAAGGGCAGCTGTGGAAGTCAGAGCATTCACATGAGTGGCATATAGAGTCCCTTCCAACAGCAAGCTGTTGCCATAGTCCTTGTCCTCACACATGGGACCTTTTAATAGTCTGGTCACTGTTGCCATTCCCCTGACTAGATGGCTAGACTGTTGGCAATGGCTCATGAGTCAGTAAAAATGTGGGATGATACGGTGGGAGGTGGGAGGGGATGTGCCCCACTATTAAGGCTCAAATCCTTAGTTGTTAGGGGTCATAGCCCCTCTGGTGACAGTGATGTTCTGTGCCACAAGCAACAATGCCCATAAAGCACTCAGTGGTGGGAACCATGGTCCCTGACACTTGAAATGGCCCAAAGGGCCCCACCCGCAAGCAGATAAGCACTATGGGTCACCGAGTTCATCTGCAAGCTTCCTGGTGTCACCAGCTTAATTTTTCCCCTAAAGGAACCTGGAAATACTGTCATGTGGCCTTCAGTGTCCAAGAACTCCAAAAAAGGCACAATTTCCATCTTTCCCCATTATATCTTTTTTTTTTAATTTTTTTTTAAGACAGGATCTCTCTCCATTGCCCAGGTTGGAGTGCAGCATCAACCTACCAGGTTTAGTAAATCCTCCAGCCTCAGCCTCCCGCACAGCTGGGACTACAGAAGCCCACCACCACACCTGGCTAAGTCATAAAAGTTTTAAATTTATTGTAGAGGCGAGGTCTCACTTTGTTGCTTTGGCTGGTCTCTAACTCCTGGGCTCAAGGGATCCTCCTGCCTTGGTTCCTCAAAGTACTAGGGTTATAGGTACGAGCCACTGCATCTGGCCCCATTTTATTTTGACAGGAGTGTAGAGCCATTGGCCTCTGGTGGGGATCAGAGACCTTGGTTCCATTCCTAACTGTGCCATTCAGCCCAGGACATTTGGGTTTGCAGTGTCCCTTTATCAGATATATTCATCAGCCAGGCTGCACGAGACTTCCTTGGCCTTTCTCCATGTCTAAGACTGTGGTCCTTTAGACCTGACGTCTCCCTTTCTGTGACAGGCCACATTCTGCATGTGGGTTCCTCTCAGATCCTTCAGGGATCATCCGATACCTCATTCCTCTTCTTTCTCTTAAGTGCCATGTTTGAGTCCTCAATGAGCAATCACATAAGTGCCCAACAACCAAGGGATCCTGTGTGGCATTTTGGCTCCACCTTACTTTCTCTCTGCTTCCACCCATTCAGCCAGCTCAGTCACAGCCACAGGGTTGTTTGCATGTGACCTAATGTCCCACATATCACCCCTCCTTTCCCATTAAAATGTCCAGCTGCAAGTGCAGCCTCTGCCCCCTGCAGGTTGACATCACCCTCTCCTTTCACCGGGAAAACATGGTTCTGTCAAACTGAACCCTGTTCACTGTGCCAATTTTGTGAAGCAGGCTCATCGTGCACTGGTTACCAACTTGCCTGAGTCCTGTGAGATGGAACGCCCACACACGAGTTACATGAAGAGGGTTTATGACTTACAGGTTGGCAATGAGGCATAACAGAGGCCTGGAATTTATTGTGAGCTGATCTCCCGAGGCTCAAGAAAGCTGCCCAGGGTGGATGCACTCTCACAGGTGGGGCACAGGCCACACTTGCACCACAGCTGAGGGACACCTCCTGCACTGCATTTAACACCCTGGGGGACCACGTGACACGCTGGGCAAAAGTGTTAAAGGACATCTTGTTTCTCAGAGAGGGACAGGAACAGAGAGAGCCTGAGCCGTTCTTGTCAGTCCCTCTTTATCGCAGGATGTTGCATTTCCAGCACATTCTACAGTTCTTTTTGAGAACACAAGGAGAAAGAGGGAAGAACTGGGTGAGTCCAAGGTCACCCAGAGAACTGTTCTGTAGCTTGTTGTTAAATGTTCATATCAACTTTA